GAGGCTCGCACACGCAGAGATGAGCGTTTCCCACGTTACTGACGACCGGTCAGCTCTCTGCGCGCTGGCCCGTCAGTCGAGGCGAGCGCTGGGTTGGGGCGCGTGTCGGCTTGGAAGCTGAAAGAGACCGGAGCCGCCCCACGACGCACGGCGGAACCGGACGCATGGCCAGTACTCGGTGGCGTGGTTGGTTTGACTTTATTTTGCCGAAGGATGATGCCCTCAACGACTCATCATTCAAACTTTGCAGAAGGGCCTTTTCCATTACTCCACCATTAATTTGCAAGCCCCAGTATTCCTGGCAAAGCTACTAGTAGAAGTGCAAAAATACACAACCTATTGGACAAATAATAAAAAAATAACGCAGGACCGCGGAAACATACTAAGCTCGCATTGAAAATACAAAGTGAAAACAGTCAAAATTCACTGACACATAAAACTGTGTGGATACGTGAAAAATCCAGATAAATTTACGAACGAAATACAATGCATGGTTGCCACAAACTTTTTATTTCCATTTTCCCTGACTTCCAGACCCATTTTCCTAAAATTTCCCTGAGTTTGGGAACAGGCTGACTTTCTACGGTTCCTCGCACTCGCCCCTCAGACGATTCGTCTTCCACAATAATTGGTCCAATTATTACTCGTCCCTATCGATTTTTTATCCTTGATTAATTTGTCCTCAGTAATGATTAGTACCGAGATAACTTGTCAACTTCTTCAATTGTATAACAGGGCTGACATACGAAGTTAAATTATATTTTATTAGGCTAAATAACTATTGCACTTTTTAGTGCCAAATTGTGAAGTACAAAATAAAAGTATAAAAATGGTGCACAAGACACAGTCTTATCTCAGCATCCGAGAACATCGTGGAGACGAAAAGGGGACGGAAATGTGTATAGGCCAAATGGGGGACAAATAATTAACAGTGAGGACAAATTATCTTCAGACAAAAATTAACTATAACAAAATGACTAGGACAAATGGGTGGTGTACTATGTACACGATGCGTGTCTATAAGCACTTCCTACAAATTGACATGGAGCCGTGGGTTTTAGGCAGCATTTCCCCATTAAGAAGGCTACGGGGCCAAACTGATGAACCAAGTGCCCAACTGCTTAACACGAGTAAGTGTACAATTGCAAGTTAAAGTCCGTAGTTGTACATTTGCAAGTGTTCAACTCGGTAGGTCTGCACTTGCAAGTATGTGCAACTCCTCAGAGGAGCACTTCCTACACAGTGAACGTCCAAATTAAGTGCTCAACTAAGAAGTTACATACTTGCAAGTTCAAGTGCACAATTACAGAGTTGTACATTTACAAATATTCAATTTGCAGTTGCACACTTACAAGTGTGAAGCAGTTGCACACTTTGTTTGTTCCAAACATTTAAAAGCAGAGGCGAGAGAGCAGCAGCTAACGAAATTTAAAGCGCAATTGTAACATGTGAAAGCGCATGAAACGAACCCGTGGCTAAATTAATGGGGCCTACTTAAAGATGCCACTGGTGGGTTGAGCGATATGGTAAGATTTATTCCGAGTTCCGAAATAGAAACTTTTAGGGTCATTGGGATACCAAAACACCCACAAAAATGCAGGCGTGGTTTAAGGGGCGGACAGGGGGGGGGTGCACCCTTGGTTACCTACTTGCTGGGGTTTTGGGGCACAAATCGCCCACCTTTCACTAGAGCCCTGATGGGGGGTTGGGGCGATCGCGCGATCAGCGACAACCCCCCCCCCCTCCCCCCTCCCCCCAAAGCCGCGCCTGCAAAACTGTATCTCTGACCTAAACCGTAGCTTGGGGCCCGATCTCAACAATTTTCCCCAACATTTCTTTAACTTTTCCTGAGTTTTCTCTGATTTTCCTGAGTTACTTTTCTAAGTTTTGGGGGTTTTCCAGATTTGTGGCAACTATGCAATGGATTTTCAGATGGTTTTTGACTAATAGAATAGCGGTCCGGGGAGACACTTTCGCCTGGGGGCGTATCGCGTGCTGCAGCTACACCACCAGAACGGCGTAACGGCCTCCCGATTCCGACTTCTATCGTGAGTCACCATAACAAAATTGAAGAAAAAATACATACACCCTTAGGACCCCTGTGCAAAGTCAGTTGAAAAGATGAGTCATCGGGCAGTTCTCCTCACTACAATGTCAGGCTAGCGGCCACGAATCTCAGTCAAGCGACAATCAGAGGCCAGTGGCCGTAGGCGCGGGCTCGCGGCGCCGAGGACGGGCCCCCCACCCGCACGGCGGCAGGTCGTCTCCTGACAGTCAAGTGGACTCACCAAGCAAGAGTCTATCCTGCCGCGCAACGTCGGCGGGTGGTGGCTGGAGGTGGAGCTGGGGCGGCAAGAGCGAGCTGGGCAGCCGGAAACGGAGCCGAGCGTGGCAAGAAAAGTCACGTATATAGCAACTTGCAACAGCTAAAACTACATCCAAAAACTGAGTTCTTTGGACCAAATACAAGGGGTGGCACGGGTCGCGAAATTTGTGGGGAGGGCACAATCAAAAGAAACATCGAAAACGAGTTATGATTTAGGGTTGGGGGGGGGGCTATATGTTGCTGCCACTTACCTTTTAGTAGTTTCTGAGGACTGCTGAGCAGCGCAACGGCTCTGAGCCCGTCACTTCTTGAGGCATACCTGTGAAAACCATCGACACATCAATTATTACTTTGTTATCGTCTTAAATTTTACAAGTGATCGACATAATCGCTGACACTGACACGAAATGGGAGCCGATCCGACACATTAGACAAACATAAGTTCAGACAAATCATGTCTAGAGAGAAACGGGAAACTCAACTTAGGCAACCCATTACACTGGCGCCGTGAGGGTAGGCAACCCAACCGGTCCCCGCGGACGGGCATCAACAAACACTGCATTAGGCGCGAATCCCTCAAGGATAAAGAAAGCCCACGGGGAGAGGGCGGCAATCGAAAAGTTAACTTAATTTCCCAGCCCCCCTGGTGATGAACAAGTAGTAGTCGTTGAAGTGCAGGGACTCGCCCGGCCGCGCCACTACCTGCTCATCTTTGCGCGCCCGCCGCGCCGGCGCTTCCGGCGTTCCCGCCTACCCGGGGCTCCGCAGGGGCTCCGCAGGGCTCACACGGCACAAGACTTAGATAGCTAACTAGAGGAACCAAATATTTAGATATGTCACGAAATCTTAACTGCCCCACAAACAATTTACCTGTGCGTAAGTGCGTTGCAAATTTTAGCTAAATTAGCTAAAATAGTGGGTAGGTTTACTGGAAAATTTTCCTTGACGCAAGTTGTGAGATTACAATTTGGAGTCGTAAAATTACATGCAGTACGTATCGACTTCAAATCCATTGGCGAGTAAAAAATGGGGTCTCGTAAATTTACAACTTAAATTATAATTCAAGTTTACAAAATGTTTGTAAAATTTACGACGCTATTTTTTACAGTGTACTATAAACGTTGCTCCCCCCCCCCCCCCCCCCCCCCCCCTCTCTCTCTCTTCCCCCCCCCCCCCCCCCCCGACTCGTTCTTTCCCATTTAACACGGCCGCACGGTCGGGTCTATATCGTTTGTACGACCCGCGTTTCTACGACCTGGTGATTCCGGACCGACCCGCAAAACCATTTGTCCGTCCTACTTTTTCTACAACCCGTGTAGAACAGGAGGCCCAAGGAGGGCATAAAAATGTACTTTAAGTGCAGCGAGGGCAAGACCGCGACTACGACGGAGTGCAGCACAACGTCACAGAACAGTCAAAAGTCCTCTCGGCGCCGTAAATAGTCAAGCCCAAAAGCCCGGTCAAAAAAATTTCAAAATGGGGGAGTACGCCCCACACCCCACAGTCGGCGGCGACCTCGGAGTTCGGAACGGGATCACCCGCTTCCAACCACAGTGCTCAGAACATACTCCCGGGGGTCGTTGGACCCGCTGGGCCAGCTTCATGGAGCTCTTTAACACGAGATTGGGGCACTACGGGTAGTCGCACTAAATATGCCGATGAGATATTCAGATTGCACTAATAGGGTACAATCATCACAGGCAAGGTGGCGTGGTAATCTTACCCTCCCACTAGTGAGTGCGCAGGGGGTACAATCATCGCAGACAGGGTCACGTCATTAGCTTACTTTTGCACATTTTTAAATTTGGTGGCGTTACTTTGTAATACCTATTGTTCCACGGTGTTGGAGACCATACATTTTTGCTATGAGAGTTTCGCTAATATCCTAAATTTTGTTGATATCTTTGATCGAAGGGTAGAAAATTCAAATCCAACTTTTTGACATTGGTGGTTTAGAATCAGTTTTTTATCCTCTTTCAAATGGTCTAGTCATATTTTACCTCACTGGACATGTTCATAGAGTAATACCTAAACCACCCTTGAAAGCCGCTATTTTTTGACTCAAAACTTTAAGAATTTACATCTCCTGAACCGTTTAAGCTACAGATCCCAGATTTGGCGTGGGTTCATATTTCATGAATACCTTTAATTTTCGAGAGTAAAACTAAAATCCGAAACCAGACACGAAATCTTGGGTCAAAGTTCAAAAGAACTAGTCATAGCTGGAAATGAACTACCCATGCTTAAATTGACATTCTTTTATGTAACATAACTATTCTCTGTCATCATATAAGTGTATTGAAAAGATCTAGTTGTTGCACTAACTTTGGGTTGTTTTGCTTATCCAAAACCACTCCTAATATATGCTCTGATCTTTTAAAAAAAAAAAAAAAACACTTTAGACAGTCACTTTATTCATATTTGTGTTACAAGGTACTATGTATTAACAAAGCAACAATAGAATACTATTGTCTATTGGACTAGTTGAGCTTTTATATATTAGCTGAGAGTAAAGGTAAAACATATTTATGAATTAAGTAATTGTCTAATTTTTTGGGATAAGCAAAACAACCAAAAGTCAGCGTAGCAACTAGAACTTATACATATGCATATATTATGACAGAGAGCTATTATTGTATATGAAAGAATGTCAACTTAACCATAGGTAATTCATAGACATCCATTCCAGCCATGTCGAAGACATTCAACAAGTTGGATGGTCAGAGAGTGCGCAATCCCCACAGCTTAAAAACTGAAAGTCCACGTGTCACAAAACTTTCAGCATAAATCAAAGTTAGTACGATCCACTTTTCCAATATTTCTCAACA